AATTTCCACAACGTGGAAATAATTATGAAACTACTTATCATATCTTTAGAGATAGTATTCAAGCAAAACAATCCTTACATCAAATGGACCCTATTCTTAACCAAGAGAATACAACTATAAGTTGGATACACCATAACTGTTGTATCAACAATAAAATCTGCAATCGTTACCTAAGCTGGAACGCACTATTTCTCTTTGCTTATGGCATTTGTGAATTTTGGGTGAAATTCAAAAATAGTAAGATTTACATGTGGTAATTGAAAAATAGACACAGTTTCAAAAGTAATTGTGAATTTAGCCACTTTTCATGTAAAGATATATCTGAACAAAAATATTGTTCAAAATCCGGAAAATATTCCAGCATAATATACTGGAGTTCCAGCATAATATGCTAGAAGTTCATACACAAGTGCTCCAATCTCCAGTATATTATGCTGGAACTTTCCGTGTGCGGGAGTTCCAGCATAATATGCTAGAAGTTCATACACAAGTGCTCCAATCTCCAGTATATTATGCTGGAACTTTCCGTGTGCGGGAGTTCCAGCATAATATGCTGGAAGTTCATATACAAATGCACCAATTTCCAGTATATTATGCCGGAACTTTCCGTGTTGCGATAAAATAATGGCTATTTTTTAATGACTTTGCAAACACGGGCTATTTTTCAATTTTCAGTTCGAAAACTGGCTAGCCTGTGCTATTTTCACGTGAATTTTTCAACAACTCAGCCCACTAATGATGTTTCACTTTGGGCCTAGCCCCCCATGACTTTAAAACGTGTAACTAGGGTATACCCATCATTTCTCCCTCCCGTGTTTTCTCGATGTGAGATTCGCCTCGTGTGCCACATACACCCCTCTCCTAGGAACTCAACGTCCTCGCTAATGTTTGCCCCACCATCATTCAAAGTTACACGCGGAGTGATTCTGATATCATTCTTAACAGCCTAATCCACTAGTAATACTGTTCACTTTAGACCTAGACCAGCATGACTTTAAAACGTGTTACTAGTGTATACCAATATTTTCCCTCCCGTATTTTATCGATATAGGATTCACCTGGACCGTGACAGACTTCGAACAGATATGCCAAACACTTAATAATAACAATAAATCATTTCATTAAGACAAAAGTAATAGACCTATCGAACACAACATACTTGTCGGATGAACAATTACAAAGTACATTCCTTAATAGAAAAAATATGTTGACCCTCTCCTCGAGAATACAAATGGCTCATCAAAAAGGAATTCAGAATGAGTTGAATAGGAGTCCGGTTATTGTGAAGTTACTAAAAGACCATAACTTTTTGACTTTATTTCATATTGGTCCATCTGCATTTATAGGATTAACTTGCTTTAGCACACTTTTCTGCTTTTACATGTGAAGAGCACGTGGGAATGACTGGGCCCACAGGTGTAGTTTTCCTTTATCATTTGTGATATTTGGACATGCATTTAAAGCCCTTTTTTATTGGTTGTCACGTTACTATTTAGTTATAGCAAAAAGAAGAAAAAAAGTATTTTAACTAAATTACCCTCAATTAAATTTTTTATTTTTATTGATGTGTATAAACTAATCCTAATATCTGAGTTAATTTTAATGCTTACAGATTAAATTTGGTTGATGCACTCTAAATTCTAATTGAATAGTAAGTATATATCACTAATAATACTAAGTGAACATAAAATTATTTACTAACTGACTTTTATATTCTTCCTTCTACCCAAAATTTGTTAGATATCATGAATTTTGTTGGCAAAGTTCCCTTTTCTCAAAAGTTTAGGAAGTTAAAGAAATTACTACTACATATAAGGGGGAATAGAGGAGCTTCCTGTCATTGTAAAATGACCAAAAAAAGCTCAAATATCTTAATTTATTTCCCTAATTAATCCTAATTCTCTTCCTTAAATATAGTCATATCCGAGCACTCTTGAATTTATATTACAGCTTGAATTTTTACGTAATTGATTTAGAGAACTAATAATAGTTCTTCTGTCGGAAGCTCTAACAGTGCTACTAAGATAAACTAAAAAATATAAAATAATTAGAGATCTTAACCGTAATTTATTTGGGGTACTGACCGAGTATTTGAGAATACAAGTGGCATTTCAATATAAGTAGAGTTAAACTTGAAAGCGTAACTAATGGAGTATATAGTAATTAGATAATCATGGAAAAATTTGACTATCTCTGTTGAACTGAAATTTGGATAATAATGGATAAATAACTAACACATGATTAATTGAATAAACATGACAACATTTCACTACTTTTCTTGTAATTAGGACTATACTGGACTACATAAAAAAGTTTATACTATTATAAATGGAGAATTGCATTCGAAAGTTTTGAAGAAAAAATAATTTTTTCTTATGATTTAGTTTAAACACCTTTTGTAGAACCTATTCTTTTTCCTTTTACTATTGTGCATAATTGTATTTAATCCTCTTTTTCATTATTTTTTGTCTTATGCTTAAGTAAGGATAAATTTATGGTAGACTCGAAAAATAAATCGAGAAGGCGTAGATTTTTTTAGAAGACAATGTATAATGGCAACTTCGTAATATGTAGATAAGATATATCTTGATTATATCACCAATATAAAAATGTATGTCATAAATAATTACTTAGATTAAATTAGATGCACTAAATTCTGGTTTTGTATGTCAATAAAAGTAGAGTTGAAACGGTAAGATACAACAAATTAATTAGGACTAACAATGATGTGATAAGTCACCTTGTGACTCACTCTCTGCTTGATATTTTTTATCAGCGAATACTGATTTTCGCCTTTTAAATTTGGGATTTCAATTGGGGTATAGCAACTACGGGTAAATCCAGAAATATTTTCATCTTCATATGGTATTTGCACCAGATTAATACTATAGTTTAATTCTTAGTGTAAAGTTAGAAAGGATTTGGAAAATATTTGCACTTGGCGCAACAACAACAACAACAACAAACTCAGTATATTCCCACAAGCGAGGTCTGACGAGGATAGTGTGTACGCATAGCTTATCCCTACCTTTAAAAACAGAGATGTTGTTTCTGGTAAACCCTCGACTCAGGAAAGATAAAGAAAAGGGGTAATGACAATGACAAGCAAACCAATCAAAAAACGAAGCGAAAACACAAAACTAACACTAGGTAGTGCAATTAGAAAACCGAACGAAGGAAGCAAGTAATAACAGAAGTCTAGAAATATAAAAATACACGAAAGACACTGAGTGAAGTACTAAAGCTACTGTAACAAATAATGACAAAGCTCAGCTACTTAACCCTCTATCCCAATTCTTAACCTCCACCCCTTCCTATCAATGGTCATGTCCATAGTAAGCTGGAGCAATATAATATCATGCCTAATCACCTCTCCCCAATACTTCTTCGGTCTGCCTCTATCTCTCCGTTGACCGTCCAAGGCCAACCTCTCACACCTTCTCATTGGTGCATCTGTACCTCTCCTCTTCATATGCCCGAATCATCTTAGTCTCGCCTCCCGCATCTTGTCCTCCACGGAAAACTTAATGTTTTCACTCTCAAAAGCAATTCTTATTTATAAATGTTCATTTCTAGAACACAACTTAGAGAGGCAGATAATGGTGGAAGATAGTTGAACTAATTATAACACTATCTTTAATCTGGTTTAATATGAAAAAAATCAATAGAAAATTACAGAAGAAATTAGTTACACTTGATTATTAGAAAAATGTCTTGTATTCATCAGTTCCAACTCATTTGTTAGATCATGTCGACCATTTCATAATCCTACTCTATAGTTTAAAAGGAAAAACAAGTGAATTCTTAAAAGAATCTTCAAAGATGCTACAATTTGCTTAACTAATAACGACCGAGGAGCTGAGAATATAATTTTTAGCAAAAATGCAACAAATCATATGCAAGAAAAATAATTTTGGATAAAATTTAAACTTGTACATTGACTAATATGTCTATAACAAGAAAAGCTTAAATTTAATAATTGGGTCCGGGCGCAGCTCGGGCCAAACATAACTAGTAGGTTTCTAACAGTCATTGACATGATACAAAGTACAACGAGCATTACTCACATTCTTTTTAATAAGAGAGGTGTTGAGACGAATGCGTGCAACTCGACTAATCCATTCACCAGCACAAATAGCGGATAACTTTGCATCACTCAGATGTTATCAAGGACTACAGTTAGAGGTGACAAAATGGTTAAAAGAAAATAGTTATCCACCCATATTATCCATTAAAAAATGGGTTGAATAATGAACTTTTTAAAAATGGGTCGAATATGGATAAGAACCATATTATCCACTTAGAAAATGGTTAACCAAATGTATAACCAATGGATAACTAACGTGTTTAAGTAGTTTAACTTTTACATTTGTAAAGCCTCATATTGGAAGTTCCTCAAGTTTGGAAGACTAGAAATTCTCCAATAAGTGATCATATTCAAGAAGTTATAGATAATATGAATATCCATATTATCCATTGGATAACCCGTTTTTTATCCGTCTCAAATACGGGTCGGGTCGGATAATTTATCCGTTTTTTGAATCACCCGTTTTCGACCCGCTCATATCCAACCCCGACACGCCCATTTGCCACCCTAACTACAGTTCTCTTCTGGACAAGCAGGGTCGACAATGCTTTCGCACACCTTTCCTTAGGTGTCTCTTTGAGGATCCAAGAAATCACATAAAACTTGTTAGCTTCTAGCTTTCACTTCACTCTTCCAATTGTTCTTCTAAAGCCTTTTCCTCATAGTTAGTGAAACTAGACGAAAATCAACTCCTATTGCAATCTCTCTTCATTACCTTAACTCTGCTCTTTTCGACAATGAGTATTTGGAGTAGCAAAGTATAGGTGATACTTCCACAAAATAGAATAGAAACCATATCCCCTGTATCTCCTTTCCTATAGTTATAAAAATCATAATACGGCTTGAGGTTATGGCGATTTGGCAAGGGACAAACAAGTAAATTATCAAAATATCTATCTTGGCAACCCAAAAAAGAACTGCAGAGACTGAATTGATTAAGCTGATAGCATAGAAATCTTTGCTATGAATAAGAAATTACATACAATCGGGATAGTAATAAAACAGGAAAAGAAACGAAGAAAGAGGAGAAGGTACACAGACACATAATTCGCATATACATTGTAGAAAGCAAGCAAACTTTCTTATGTAGAGGTATTTAGAAGCGAAGAGAGAAGTAATGTAGAACTTGTCGAAATTGAATAAGTAGAATTTGATCAGGCAAACCTCAAGGAGATTGCGGCCAATCGTATCCAGAGTCCACAGCATTTAAGTCATCATAAAACCACATTTCGACGTCCTCAATACTTTGGTCATCTTCCTCCCAATACACATCGGACATGCCATCAAAGTCGTCATCGTCCATGTCACCAGCCACAAATTCCCATGGTACATAGCCTGAAGAACTTGAATAATCAGAGCAATTGTCCCATCCGTTTCGATCATAGCAATCTACGACAAGGGGACCGACCACCTTTAGCTGATGGAATTTCTTTACGAAATTTTCTTCAAGGTTCACATTCCAACAACCCCTTACATCGAGCAGCTCAAGATGTCTGCAGTTTTTAAGGACCTCGGTTATGCTTGTTGTACCAACCAGCATATAAGCAATTTCGAGCTGCTTGAGCTTTGACATTGTACTAGCTATTGCAAGGGCTTCATCGTCTTGGGAAAGCTTGTCAATAACCTCAAGGGGATGCATTGTTCGACGCAAACCAGTTAGACATCTACACTGCTTCCCTATAGCTTCAAGCGCTCTGGCTCCTATTTTTATGCAGTAGCTCACATCCAAAAATGTAATGTTCGAGAACATTCCAGCGACCTGTTCCACGATGGAATCGCCTATATCACTTTTTGGCAACCGCAACATCTGCAAAGATTTGGCACTAGCAAGCAAAACAAGAAAACATTCAAATTCAATCAAAGTAACTCAATTTGACTTGAGTATAGCATCTTAAAATATGTGATTTGTAGACTATTGCAGTAGCTGAGAGATGTAAATAGCGTCAAGAGGTGAAAAAGTACTAACTTGTTTGCAATGAATGTGAAGCTTGATTCCCTGGAGAGACCAAAAACACAAAGCTTACGGAGAGAACCACAGCTTCTTGTAATAAGAAATTGAAGCATCCGATCAAGGTTATCAGGGCTAAGATTTTTGCTCCATTCCTCAATGTCGATCTCTTGCCAACAATAAGGACCTCTTGCGGCTTTTCCCCATGATTTGCAAACCCTTGGAACTATAGTTAATACCTCTTGAAGTGAAAGGTTCCTAAATATTAGCCCAAGTGCATCAGGAATTAATTCATCCCACCGCCGAAACTCCTGACTCTCCATCTTAACTCTTGTTTTTCTGCCAAAGTAATGAGATATATTTAGGACAAAAGAATGTTGAATCACATTTCACCTATTTATTTCGAACTGTCACCATTGAAAGATGAGCAAAACTAGGAAATTTGGGCAATCAACAGCTATAAATTGGAGTCAGTTTGCCATCACAAAAGTTTCCACACAATAAAAAGATGCAAAAGAAGTGAAAAAATCAGCAATGCACTAGTGAATAAGTGAAATCACAAACCTAAAATCAACTCAATCGAGGCAAACAACAACAACTACTACGCCTCAATTGCAAACAAGTTGGGGTCGGCTATATAAATCCTCACTGACCAAGTTATTCTATTTAAATCATCTCATGCCAATATTATGCAAATACAGAAAGACTATCTAAGAGAAAGACAAGATTTTCGTAAAGACATCAAAGTGGTGATGACAAACAGCAGAAAGACACAATCTTTACACAGCCATGTTTGTTAACAATGCCAATAATAAAGAGAAAGGAAATCTAAAACTGGAAAGGAGAGAAAACTAATTGAAAAGGAAAACAAGATTTCTCAAAAGACATCAAATTGACAATGTTAAACAGCAGAAAGACACAATCTTTATACAAACATATTTGTTAACTACCAATAAAAATGATAAGGAAAGGGAAAATAAAGAAAAGGACCAACCTTTATTTATCCATATTGCCACAGCAAAATACTAAAACAATGAGATTCAATTCAATTGGCCACAGAGATTACCATTTCCCAGCTGAGTTAAATGCTGAAATCAATCAACACCCTGTTGACAAAAAAAATGCTTAAATCAAGAAACAGTCATAAAACTCAAGAAAAGCAATGACATTTTGGAAATTTCTGTATCAAAAAAATTTGAAAAGTTTCACCATTAAATATGAAGATACTCATTTTATGTAAGTAAATAGAGGTATTTCTACAACCCCAAAAGCAAGAACCACAATAATTGTATTACTCAAAGCTGATGAACAGAGGCTAAAGTCAGATGAACATGACTTTGTAGTTTAATGCAAAACTCAAGGAATGTAAAAAGAAGAAAAGGGTGTCAGTAGAAGAGAAAAAAATACTCAAAAGAGCATAAAATTACCAAGATTTTTGTACACTTGGATCTGTGAAACACCGGTTTATCCGCCTAAAATGAAGGGTAAGAAGAATGTGAGTTTCAGTTAAAAGGGGGTGTTGTGTTGGTAGAAGAGAAACAAGACGAGAGACAAAAGTAACAAGATTTGATAACAGGAAAAAGAAAATAACATGTGAAAGTGAAAAGTTCAAGAAATATCTCAGAAAGCAATGTGTAATTGTAAAATGTAAATGTATGGGGAATTTGGAATTGTATGTTTCTGAACTGGGGGTATGGGGTTAGTACTATTACTAGTTTACTACTGCTGCTGACGTGTTACTCCTTTTTGAGATTCACTTCAGTACATGCACAATGTGTAAAAAGGTCATTTCAAATGTAATTACATATGATGAATAAGATTTCATTATCTTTAATCACAAATTTTGAGTTGAGTTTTGACAATGAAAAAATGCTTGGTAAAAAGTATTATTTCCTTTAAAGAGCCTTATACAATATGAATCTAGATTAATCGGTGCCTCAATATGAACAATGGACACCAAATAAAAAACAACAAAAGATTGATATGTGAGCGCCGTGTACGCGAGGTGACGAGTACGTACACAGGCTATTTATTGTAAAACCCTATTCTTCACTAAGTAATAACATGTTTCTCCTTATTTGAGCTACACTAGCATATGTAACTATCCTGTTTAGTTTAGGATAGCATGCCTATATGTCTTAACTGCCTATCTGAACTCTGTGCAGCGTGAGATTTCTTGTTTTTCCTTGACTTGAACTTAGTACTTACAACTCCACCACATTTCTTGTCGGTCGGTACGGAGTACTTGACGTCTCTGTAAATAAAGCTGTAGTTATTTATGATTCCTTTTACCTTTGTCATTGTCTTGCCTATTACCAACATTATTAATGCTCCACCTGCATGCACATTTATTCATTTCTAAACCAAACCAAAATTTATTGCTACCTAATATATGTTTAATGCGCCTTATTACTTTTCTTTAATCATATTTTATGATACCCTGTATTTTATTTTATATGAAACTATTTTTTAGTTTATTTTAAAAGAATTATATTTAAAAGTAATTTAATTATAACTTGCCATTTCTTATCCTAATAATTTAATTATATATTCACACAAAATCATGACATATTTGAGATAAAAAATTTCAAAAGTTTTTCTTTCTTAAAATTTCATGCTCAATCAAATTTTCGTATAAAATGAAACAGAAGGAGTAACATTATCTTTTGAATTTAAGTTTTATATTATGATGATATAAAAGATAATCACATAATTAATTCATTTATAAGGTAGTTATTATAGCCTATAGGTAAATTTCTACGGTAAGTATTTACCTATAATTTCAGTTGTTTGTAATGAATTAATTACAGTTGTTTGTAATGATCCCATGGATCTTATGTCTGACTTTTCGTAGTATTAATGAATAATTATTCCAGTTTCTCAAAAAAGAAGAAGAAATAATTACATTCACAACTCCAAAAAAACATTGATGAAAAATAATTAAATCCTACACTAGTTACTATAAGGCCTCATTTGTTTGCATCTGATAAACGTTTGAATCTTAATTATTTAAATCTGCATCACGAGTCTGCTTAATCATTCAGATCTCAAACATATGTATTTCTTCTTATTTTATAATCACTTAATGGATCTAAATGATTAAGACTTATAACAAAGTCTTAATGTAATGGAAATGCTATGATCACTTTTAGCACTAACCACTAACGCTATTAACTACCATCACCCATTACTCACCACTCGCAATCACCATCCTCAATCAACCACTACCACAACCATCGCCATGGTCAGCAATTACCACCACGAGCTACCATTAATAATCGTCATTACCAATTGCCATTGCTATACAGCTACGAATCACTACCAACGATCACCAAAATCAGTTATTATTATATGTCACCAACCACCACCATTAGCTATCACTATTATCCGCCACCGCACCACCTACCACCATCAACCATTACTTAGTCACTATTGCCACCATCACCATTAGATACTAATCATAACCACCACTACCACCATCAGTCGACACCCAAGCACCATCATTAACTATCATATTATTTTTTTATAAATATTTTGTTTATATAGTATTAGATTAATTAGTAATTTATTTGAATTTTATATGTATTACTAAATTTTAAACAAAAATAATTTTATATATTCAAATGTTTAAAAATAACAATTTTAATTAGTTAGTATTCATATTTTAATATACATCTTAATATTAATATATATTTATATTCAAATTTAGACGTCTTAATTTTAATAGAAACAAATGAGGCCTAAGAAGTGCACAACAAAAACAACAATATTCGTAAATCAAGAACGGTTTTTTATTTTTAAAATATAATAGAGCATATATTAAGAAATATATAAAGTTACAATCTTTTTTATTTCTGGAAGTGCTGGACAAAAATTTAATATTATCAATCATATAGATGATTGATGCTGCACAAATGGGAATGGGAAGTAAATGGAAAGTATTAGCCAATACTTACTATTTGTTCCTGCCATGTTTGGTTTCATCATTGCTTTACTCTTTGTCTGAATTTGGACAAATCTGCAGCTCTTTGTCAGATTCCTAATATGATTCCCTTGCAACAATGAAAAGCTGTTCCAAATATCTTTCTATCCAATTAAAGTACTACATTAAAAAAAATTAAATTCTACGTAGTAATGATGTAATAGAATTTATATAATTAAAAGTCAATTATGTTTACATTAGTATTTATGCTCTGGAAGGCATCTCCAACCCTCATTCATTTCTCCAAAATGCAGTTTTTATTTGCAAAAATGTAGCTCCAATGCTCCCCATTTTTGCGCCCCAAAATGGGGATGAATAGTGTTACTCCAAATTTGGAGTGACACTATTCATCTCCTCTGTTACTATTCATCCTTACTTTATTATTATTTTTATTATTTAACTCTTTTAATTTATCTCTTTATATATACCTAATTATGTTTATATAATATCTTTATAATATTAATTTGACATCTTAACTTTGGCGTATAATTTTGATAAATTAATTTTCGTGCATTTATTATTTTATGTAAATTGTAAGTTAATTTTATTATAAGTTATTTTTATGTAAATTAATTTCATTTATGAGAGCATACTAGAGGTGGAAGTTGAATATTTATGTAATATTTAATCTAAATTTTATCATAATGTAATATGTATTTAATTATCTTGTATCTCAATGATTTCACTTTTATATTTTCTTACAAATTATATTATTTAAAATTTTATGGTATAAAATAATTTTATATTAAATTATATGAGATGAATATGTAAAAAAATAAAAAAAGATAAAATTTCTTTAATAGAAATAAGTAATTAAATTTAAATAAAATATAATAATATAATATTGAAGAGAGAGAAGAATATAAAATGTAATATTTTTTTTTGGAGTAAAAAATGGAGTAATGGTTGGAGTAACTTTACTCCATTTTGGAGGAGAAAATGGAGGTAAGGGTTGGAGATGGCCTAATACTCTTTTAGCTTAATCAGAGATTAAAAATATAGAGAATTTTTAGTACTTTTTATATTGTATAATAATGATCCGAAATGAATTTAAATAATAAAAGTTGGGGTCAATGGAAATAGTTGACCCCAACTTTTTGGCTATTTAGACATAATTGTTGTTAGGTCAATTACAAAGTAATTATAAGCAAATTCTATAATAATATTATTAAGGCTAGCGGGTAAAAATAGTAATTAATTTACTTTCACATATTACAATTTAGATAGTGTAAGAATATTGACGCTCTCAAGGTATAGAACAATAATAAAGTGGCATCCTATTTCAATATTATATAATGCACACTGTGTGAAGTTTTACGGTCTGATGTTTGAAAAAAACGGAGACAATGAAGAAGCGGGTCTTTCCCGCTATCAAATAAAGAAGATAAGGGAAAAATAGTTTTTTGTAACTGAAAATTCACTATTTCTCAATTATATTTTACACGGCGACTGAACTTAAAAAGCGGACCAAAAAGTGACTCAATCTTGTATCTGTTAACGATAACACGATGCACAAAATATTTTGTATTTATGCAGAGTCCAGTAAAGGTCGCATCCCAAGTAGGGGCGACTCAAGAATATGCGGGGCCTAAAGCCAAAGATTAATATGGGGCCTAAATTTTTAAAAGATAGTTATAACATACGTTTTATTTGAAATATATTCTTCTAACTTTTTGAAATACAAAGTTGTTAATAATCTTTTTTATAATCGATTTTCTCTAATTATCTTTATTCAATTGATAATATAGCCAGCTCATTTAATTTTTCTTGAGATATTGTTGATATTAGATAATATTTTATAGAGCAATAGAAGTATAGAATTATTGGAAGTTTAAAAGTATTGTTGAACAATGGAGCTAATGAAATCTTGTAGAAAGAAAGTGAATAATGAAATATTGGAGAAAGAAAGTGAGTAAGAATATTAAAGAGAAAGACAGAAAATATATAGGGATTTCTGAAATATAAAGAGATTGGAGAAAAGAAAGATTGATTTGGACATATTAAGAAAGGGAGAGTGAATTTTTGTATACATTATTTAATGAAGGAGTAAAAGTGAAACATTGCGAAAACTATTCATCTATCCATTTTTAAATGTGTCAAATTATTACTTTATTTACATATCTAAAGAGTTCTATTTCCTTTTATATTAAAAACTCTAATTTTGTATTTAAAAGTACTAAATATTATTTTTAAAATACCTATAAACCTATTCTTTTTTAAAAAATGCCCCCCCCCAATTTGGGGGCCTAAGGCACATGCCTTACCCCTCATCACGTTAGAGCTGGCCCTGATTCTAAGGAATGTAATGTAGACAACTTATCCTAATACAAGTATTAGTGACCGCTTTCACGGCTCGACCATATTCGCTTGCAACCATACAAATTAGTTGTAATCTTGTGTATCCCATTGAACTCACTGTTTTTTTTTTTTTTTTACACGTATCACTCTGTATCTCATGTGACAGAGAAAAGAAGAATAAATGTGGCTATGATCTGCAAAAAATATGGCTGGCAAATCTGAATCTGAAAAGATGCTTTTTACTAATGAAGAATTGAAGATAGGGAGAGAATCACAATCTGAGCAACAATTATGGAAAAACTTCAATGCCAAAAGTCTCAACTCTCACGTCATAGCTTTATGAACTGC